CTCCCCCTTATTTGTTTCCTTTTAACTACCTACCCCCTTAATCAAGTTCCACTTAAATCCCTCCCATTAAAATAAATCACAAAGAAATTGAAATGTGACATCATCCCACTATCTACTAATTTTGACACATTATTTTATTATTTTTGTTTACCTAAAAGTAACTTCTTCCCCAATCTTCATCCCCACTCTCCTCTTCTCTTCTCCCATGTTTTTCTTCTTCATCTCGGCAGCATTTTTTTTTTCTCTTGCAGCTTCATCTCGTTGGAGAATAGAACCGAACCTTGGGGCTTCTTCAGGAGGGCAACAAATCCGGCGATATTTGGCTTTTTTCCGGCGAAAAAAATCTTTTTCTCTGTCCGAAAATTCTTCTTTTTCCGGCAAGATTGTGCCTTTTTCCGGCAAAAATTTGAAGTAGTAGGTAATGTATGTATTACATGAGAAGTTTGGAGTCCAAAAATCATCTTTAATTCATGTATTTTTTTTTATTTTTGAAGGATTGAATGTTGAATATTGTTGTTTATATTTACCCTAAAATAAATAAAGTGATCATAATCCTTCTTTTTTGTTCATGCATACTAAATTTATGCTATTGTTAGGTTATGTTAGGTGTTATTGACCATAAAACAAAAAAAAAAGATGAGAATAATGATAGTACCACTCTTCATGACTGTGTGTACCTCTGTTTGGATATATATAGTACCACTTTTCTCACTGTTGGTACCTTATTTGCTGGGAATTGTGAACTTGTTTTTTTTAATCCAATCATTGTTAGATACATGGAAGGGGCACAAAGTGATATATTAGAGAGTTGTACATACAAGGATGAAATATATGTGTTCTCTATGAACCTTGAATCAACTCTTGATGAAGTGTACTCTCTCATTGGCAAGAGGTGGCCGACTGTCATTCAAGGATGTACGACCTCAGCCCGGACGCAGGAGGGAAAAAAGAATTCCTTCACAAGTTGATGTTGCAGTTAGGCGGTGTAAGCGTTGTGGTCGTCGTGGACACAATCGACGTACGTGCAAAGAACGTATATAGATCACTCATGTATTTTGTTCTTTGGACATGTGTATATTTTTTTTTTGTGCCCAAGTGTATTTTGTTTTTGCCTAGGTGTATTTTGCATTTGGTCAATTGTACTTTGTTTTTTGCCGGATGATGTCTTTTGATCAATTTGTACAAGTTATTTCTAAATTAGTACCATTTATTATTCTATTAAGTACCAGTTATTGATCAATTAATACCTCCCTTGTAGAAAGAACGAAAAAAGGACTACTTCAAATTCGGTCATTTTCAAAATTAGTACATGTCATAGAGTAAAGCAGTACCTGTTTTGTGTCGTTATAGTACCGGATATCGGGTCTGCAGTACAACTTATAAAAATTTGGTTAATTTTTACTAAGGGGCAAAAATGAGTGTTGCCCAGGTGTTAGCGGCGCTAACCCATCTTAGCGGCGCTAAGGCTAGGATGTTAGCGCCGCTAACTTTTCTTAGCGATGAGCAGAGGCTGGGAGGCTTTCTAGGTTAGCGCCGCTAACCACCTTAGCGGCGCTATGGTTTGAACGAGAACATTTTCAATTTCAGGTACTGCGTATAAGAATAACAGGTACTAATTCAAGAAAAACAGGTAGCAAAAGTGTATTAAGTATTGTTTTTCCATTAATGCGTTGAGTTCGTGACCAATTTACGATTAAACTTAATTAAACAAATTTTCAATGTCATATAAACTAATTTGAGAGTGATTATGGGTCGTATGAACATAGTTTTCGACCGATATTTGTTGTTTCTATGTGTTCACTACAAGTGGTACAAAAGACCAGAAATGTGGTACTAATCTACCAAAAAGTGGTACTGACTAACTCTATGACTGGTACCACTTTTTTAAAATGT